TAATAATAAAATGCTTTGTTGTGCGAAAAGGGCATTTTTAGTTTATTCTTTTTTTTCAATAATGTTTGAACTATATGACTTTAAAAATAAGCTGACTGTCATGTGTACTAACTCCTTTGAAACATCAAAAAAAGATATAATTTGCATAAAATTTTGGGAAACAGTGTATCTCACTACTGTAGAAGAAAACAAGATATAACACTCAAAAAGATAAATAAAATAACACTTACAGTTTGGATAAATACTTCTTTTGAGTTGAAAGTCAGCATCTTGCGTCCTATGTCATAATGACCAACAATGTTGTCCATGTCTAAATCAGGAGCAGTAGTGTACTTCCAAAGGATGATATCATAACCTGTGTTGATATCGCCGCGCGCATCAAATGAATAACTTTTCCCATCATAGAGGAAGTTTGCTTTCTTTAAGGATTCTAGTAGCTGAAATTGCAAAGTGTTACAAGTGTGATTATGAGTGACAGGCCTATCACAGACACAAAATGGTGTCTCTGTTTGATTTTTCCTAATTTTCTATACATTCATCTATAGATAAATGTTATGTCTTCAATGTCTTTTCACATTAAAAAAAATACCAAAGTTATGGAAAACAATAACAAAATAAATAATCTGGACAAGAAAAAAAACAAGTTAAATCAAATACATAAAATTTGGACAGCGAACTCTCTCTCAGGTTGTAATATATTCAGTAATAATAAATTATATACATCATAAACATGAAAACGCATGTGTTAATCTCTGTTTTGATGCATACCTGTGATGGTTGTAATGTAGACGGGTCACACTTCCTGTTGATGCAGAGGTCTTTAACAGCTTGAGCGATTGCTTTAACTGCCAGCTCAATACTGAACACAGCATATGGTTGAGTCATACTGATCAGTTCCTCTATAGCTGAATTCTCAGACTCGTCAGAAACACTTGATCCATCAGTAAAGTTCTTGTTCATTTTTAAATAATACCTCAAAAATGAGTTGTTCTTGTGGTGGTCAGAGTCTACATCAAGGTTTCGAAGATATTGCTTAAACTTGGACGTGTTTCCAGATTTAAGGGTGATCCCAAAAACTGTTCCAACATCTGTCAAACTCCATTTTTCAGTATCCAGTATTTCAGCTGATTGGGACCAGGTATCACTGGCCAACCAAACTTTGTTTCTGCCTTTGGGACTCTGGAGTGCCTTATCAAAAATGTCTTTCATGTGGCTGGATTTAGCAAAAGACACAATCACATTGACGTTTTCATTTTCAGTGATGAATTTGACTGTATCGTTTATGTTGCAGTCATAATTTGTGTTGACGAGGAACTCTGGCAGAATATAAACATAAGCAAAGCAGATATTGTGCTCAGCTGCATAATAGCGGAGACGTTCAACTGCGTAACGACCGTATTCTCCATCAGTCGCCAAAACGCCAACCCAGTCCCACTTGTGATYTTTGAGAATCTCAATGATGGCACGGGCTTGGTGGTCATCCTCTGGTACGGTCCTCAGAAAGCTTGGGAAACGGGTTTTATCACTCAGCAGACCAGACGTTGAGCTATAGCTTATCTGTGATGGGATTACAAAACTACTGTTATATTAGAAACAAATTCAGCAGAATAAGAAATTATACTGCAGGATCGCTACGTTAAAATACTGTTTTTTCCCAAAACCCAGATCAAACATTTAATAGGTTGTATCTGTTTCATAAAGTGTTTTAGGCCAGTCATACCTCAGGGATGCTCTCCAGGTTAAGCAGTCTTGTAACTGATACAGTTATCTCTGAGTAGCATTCGCCTATAACAGCCAACACAGACGGAGAAGACTGTAGTGCACCATCCCTGCTTATCCCTGTAAAAACATTTACATTACCTTTAAAGATGAACACATTATAAAGTATTTTCTTTGTATTTTGATCTACATGTTTTAGAAATGACAATAAAAAAAATGTCAAAATTGAGAATGACTTACTGTTTTCTCTCATGAAGGAGAGAGTGTTGTTCAGCGCCGTGGTTACATCGCTACAGGAGTCGCGTATGAGATATCCCAGAGTGATGTTCCCCAACTCTCCACTTCGATTTATCTCCTCTATGGCATAAACCATCATCAGGGACTGAACCAGCCGAACAGCGTTGAACCTAAATCATCAAACCAATTTTATTACACGTAAATCATATTTTAACACATGGATTTACACTTAGGGCCTGATCTACTAAAGGTTTGTGTGTATAAAGTACAAACGAGGGTGCATGCAAAGCTGATAACTATTATCAACTGTGAACTGAGGATTGCATCTGTCAAATAAGCAAAATAGCAGGTGCAATCTATTCAGCATGTTTGCCTTCATGAATATGCAGAATATAGGATGAGAATAAGAAAGCACAAAATACTGGAYGAGGGCATGCAAATGTAATCATTCAGCACTACASTGTGATTTATCAAACCTGAAATTGATTTTGGTTGCYATTTTTGCTTMATTTTTAGCACATTTAAAGGCAGGTGCAAACTGACGTCAGCACKCATTGACTGAGCAAAGGCAGTACTCCTGAACTCCTCCTGGARAGACATTTTTAATCCAAGTAGGTTGCAGATGAGATGGTGAACTGCAAAGCACAGGTTATGCCCTGGTCTACCTTGAGGCACACCTTTTTTAGAGTGCATACAGCTTGAGCTCAATGGAGCAGTCCAAAATGAGCAGGTGTACCAGAAGGTTTCAGATTAACTSGTTTTTACACGCTCTTGTTCATTTAAGCATTTGCTCATTTTTAATCCCTTAACAGTCTTTGTTCCACCGGTGGGCAAAGATTAGTGCGGTTTCTGCCTTTAAACATTTATATAAGTTTCCAGATGCTACCGGGGGCTTTTTCTTTTTTTAACGTGTCAGATGACTTCCTCCGGTTCTTACCTTGCTTGAGCATGACACCCTTACATAAAACAAAAAATGTCAAAAATGTCAGAAGGCTTTTGATTTGATTTGATTTGATTTATTGATTCAAT